CTCAAAGGCTAAGTACTCTTAAGGTCCCATTTTTAGTAATAAATCCCCTAAGTTCGACAACCCCCCCCCCCCCCCCCCAACGAAAAAAACAACAAGGGAATCTTATTGAGAGGTGGTAGCTACAAAAAAACTATGGACTTTGTATAATTGTATTCATGGTACTAATATTATAAAACGGCTGAACCTAAAACCATTATCAAATGAAATTCTACAGATTTATATACATATATGCACCCTACTGGCCTATACCGATATATATATATATATAAAATCCCCAACTGTTAAAACAATATCATGATGTAGTACTAGTTGAGTAGTTCCAATAGTATATAGAGTCGGTACGTAAAAATTAATAATTCAGAAAATGAATTGTTACTACAGTTATTGGAACCAGCCAAGACTGTGCATGTTTCACGAATCACGAAATAACTTTTCTAACACTGAGAGAAACGAAGAGGTACTACCCCGTCTTCCGATGAGAATACAATAGAACAACTTCGTCTCAGCACCGCCATCACGTGCCGCTTGTTTTGAAAAAAAAAAGAAAGATAGAAAGAAGGAAAATACAAAAACTATCAGCCAAAGTTTTTAAAAATAGGTTTTGGACATACAAAATGCCAAAACAGAAATAAGAGCAAAGGATAAACCAGAAGCACCAGATAGATATATATGGCCATTTTGGTAAACGTAACCCATGAGGTTCGTGAGACAATTAGAGATATATGGGCTCTATGAATGAATGATAAAGTTAAAAGAGTTAAAAACATGACTCGAGTTGAATAAGCTGAGAGATAAAATTGAGGGGAAGGCCGGAGGAGAGTCGTTGGTTACTCCGCGTGTGCTTTCTTTCTTAAATATTACCCGTCGAGGCCCAGCAAAATAAAGAAAAATAAGAAGCAAAGGTTGCTTTTAGCTTGGTTTAACCACTATAAGCCCAGAAGAAGAATTGTAGCTGGGTGGGTCAACCCGACGGTTCTTCTATGCGCCTTAATGAGCTGACGTGGCGTTGTCGTCATATCCATCATGTTTCTCTGTTCTTGAATTTGTGATGGACCGTGTTATTATGATCTTAGCCCATTTCAATACCAACCCAAAATATGCAGTTGCCTCAATTAATTTTTATTTTATTTTTTGTGGGATGACTTTTTTTCTTCGGCTAATTAATTTTAATTGTCATGAATTTGTCCCTTTATAAAAGTTAAAGAAAAACATCACAACAGGTTAAGTTTAACGATCAGAACCGGAAAGAAGTAGATATCTTCAGTTAGATGTGATAGAGAGACAAACACACATTTAATTTGAGAGGGGCATGAAACACAGCCCACAACAACATAAACAATATAATAAAAATATGAGTCAACAAAAATAAATAATAATCAGGAAAATAGGAAGATTAGAAATGGGCCAAGTTAGGTCATAATAATGAGGTTAGGAGGACCCAATAGAAAAGGAGCCCATAAACCTAAAACATGAAGAAGTTAAAAGACACTTTTTACCAAATCGGAGAAACTGTTCCCTCTTCCTTTTTGTACTCCATTTACTTCACTTTGAAGCTCCTCCTCCTCCTTCCCCATTCCAACTCTCTCTCTCTCTCTCTCTCTCTCTCTCTTTTTTTTGCTTCTTCGTCTTCCCCATCTCTCTCTCTCTCTCTAAGATCTCTATGCCTTTTAGATTCTCCAAACCCATCATCTTCCCTCTCTCCCTCCTACCTAAACCACATCATTCTTTCTAATCCCCTCCTTCCCTCTCTCTCTCTTATAGAGATATAGAAATGGGTTCGTGTGTCTCCTCAGCTTCTCAGAACAACAACAACAAAAACTCCTCCGCCTCTGACTCCGTCGTTAAGCTTGCCGCTTTCATCTCCGCTTCCCCTGCCATCGACGTCAACCCTCCCCTTCATTCCTCTCGCCTTGATCCCCCAGGTTCAGTCTATATGATCATCCCATCTCATTTCATTCTCTTCATCCGATCACTTTTACTTTACACACAGTTTTTTTTTGTTTTATCTAGAAACTATATATATATATATAATTAATCAATATATATAGATATATATATATATATTTATAATTAAAAATTTTGTTAATGCCCCTGGAAATCGATTGGTTTGCTTTTAGTGCCGACAAATGTAAAGTCGTTAGCTTTTTCACGCCCCCAATCAAGATTAGTCCATATGAATTATAAAAAAAGGAACGTATTCGTATACTTAGACATCAAGTTGCAATTTGATAAAAATTGTTATGACTTATATATATATGACGATTGGTTGGTGATCATAATTAAACATGGGTAAATGTGCTACCGGGTCTATCCATTACTAACTATTAAACATTTACCCGCACATGGACTACGCCTAGCTGAAACGTACGATACAGGTTAGAATGTCTTCAAGGCATTGTCACTTCTTTCTTTCTTTTTGCGATATCTGTGCTATTATGGACCACACTTCAAGTTGCAATTTCCATAGATTTATTGTTGCTATCTTCGTGTTTTTTCTTTTTTAATGCATGCTTTTTAAATATATAAAAAAAAATTATTGTATAGCTGGAAATTTAAAACCGTCTATTTAGTTAGGTATCCAAACACACTAAGTTAAGTACATTCACTTCACACAGTTAAAACCAAACCATTTCAAAATCATCTTCATCATCCGCTTAAATTTTATTTTACTGGTTCGAAATAACGAAGAGGATGTTTAACTTAAAAGGTGATAAAGAGGAGATGATATTTTTCGATTCAAGGGGTTGGCTTGATTCCGACTGTGATGATGATTTCATGAGCGTCGATGGTGGTACGTACGTTTCTTTCTGTTATTCTTCATTCTTCTTCTTCTTTTCTTCTTTTTTTATTACAAAGAATTTGCGGGTACGTACGTTACCACAGCAGAATTTACGCCGTCCCGAGGAACAACCCCGGTCCATCATAAATTCTGCGACCAAACTCCTCAAGGAGAGAAGAAACCCCATGAAGAGGAACCTACCGATAACAAAAAGAGACTCCTCGAACTCTTCAAAGAGACACAAGACGACGAGGATCATGAAGAGAAATTAGATCATGATTACGTGGCAGAAGGCAAATCAAGAGCATGCCTCTGGCTAAGAACACCCGTTAGATCTTCTGCCCCGGCCACTCCTTATCATAACAACAAAGAAAGACTTCAAAAATTCAAGAGGGTGAGATCCACTGCTCATGGCGGCTGCGTTCCTCGTTTGGTTTCCTGTAGTAGCTTCTCTGATCGCCGACGGAACATGGTTACTCATACCCCCATCGACGTCCAACGCTGAAAAAGACAAAGAGAACAATGTTTAAATTATACTATACATTATCATGTTTCTTAATTAATCTGTCTTTTTATTCTTGCTTTCCAAAGGATCGAACAATGTTCTTCTGTCAGCTCATAAAAATGCTTATTATGACAGTTGTAAGGCATCATTTTTTCATAAGATCGTTTACTTTTGTAAATTATCAACGGAGAGAGGCGCAACCTCCCACCTAAAGTCGTGGTTGAAGCAAACCTTTAAATATTAGTATGAAAATTGAGCGTTTGCTCGGCGGGAGTAATATTGCAATGTGATATAGCCAGCCATACAACATGATGCGACCAAATAGTTTATGTCATGTCATATCATATCTGCCTAGATCAAGAGCTTGCATCATCCTTCTTTCATTCTTTTTTTTGGTTCGAGGTTACCGTTTCTTCTCTTAGGCTTCGAATGGGAAAATAAAATAAGCAGAGCAGATCAAGTGTACAAGGCAGATCTAACAAAATAAAAGCAGATCAAGCAGATTTGGCAGTTCAAATGCAGATCCTACATTAAAATAGAGGTGTTTAATCTGCTCTGCTTTATAGGGAAAAAACAAGAGCATAAAATAAAATATATATTTTTTTTGTGCACCTACAGAATTTTAACAGGAGAACTGCAGTTATAAATAATAATTGTTTATTTTTATGAATGGTAAACAAAAAACAGTTAATCTGTCCTGCTTTATATCTGCTTCTCCGTTCAAAGTGTATTTTATGATTCCTTGACTTCCTCATAATTGAATTATTATTAGTGCTGTTGTCCACATGCGATGCTTTGGTTCGCTAGTGGAAAATCACCTCCAACATATTTTAACTATAATCTTCTCAAGTCATTTCACCTAATTGTACGACTTTGGGAACACACATTAATTTACAAATCTGAATAGTAATAAATAAAAGTTCCCCCCCAAATTAGTGCAGAAAACCTTTGATTGATACAAATGTTAGACGTAATCATAGACCTATTTAAAAAAATTGAGTAACACGTAATCATGTCTTTTTAAAATTTAATACATATATATATATATATATATATATGTATCATTTACATTTACATAAGAGTTAATGCAGTTGTAATTAAATTATCAAATGTAGATTTTTAAATTTATAGTTATAAGATTTTATGCATGGAGGCACTTAGTGAATTAGAAAAACTTACATATGGAAATAATTAAATTTCTTCTATAGGCATGAATGCAAAAAGTTGATAACATAAAATTAAAGACATTGAAAATTTCGTGCTATAATTGGATGGTCAACATAAAATTGTGTTGCTTTGTTAGATTTTCCCAAATTAAACGGATAAATATAAAACATCTTAGCTATAAATAATTTTGACTGCATTTAATCTGCCCATAATGTACATTGTATTCCTTATTTTTTCAAAAAAAAAAATTCTGGCTAAAAAGGTGAAATATAAAAGTGTCTTGACTTGGAGAAGAGAGGTTGTGATGGGCATTATAGCTAAATCCAATTTTGCAGTCTATTTCTTTTCTTCTATTAACTAAAAGAAAGTAGAATGCAATCATCCGTTGGAAAAGCCTTTCAACTTTTCTGTTTTCTTCTTATTTTATTTGTTAGCCATGTGTGTTTGATCCAAGTTCGAGCCAACTACGATTTAGATTCCACAGTGGGCAGATCTACGGATGCATTTCTTTTGTCTACAAGCTTACCTGTGGACACAGCCTTCAAGTTTCCATCTGCTTCACCTGCTATTACCCCTTCGGCTGGGGGAAATTTTGGGAAAGGAAGGATAGATCTGGGGGGTCTTGAGGTGGTCCAAGTCTCCATCTCGGCCTCAACATCACAGAGAGTATGGAGGACATACGAGGGCATGGGACTCACTATCTTTCAACCTACCAACCTTCCTCCCAGCTTCTTCTCTCTTGGCTTCTATGCACAACCCAACGACCGTCAGCTATTCGGCTGGGTTCTCGTTGCAAGAGACGTGTCTGGAAATAGCCTGAGGCCACCCGTTGGGTACATTGCAGCCATGAACACTACTTCAATGATTATCAGGCAAGACGGGCCTGCATATTTTTGGCAGCCCCTATGTCCCGATGGGTATCAAGCGGTTGGTCTGTATGTCACTACTTCTCCTCTGGAGCCGCCTTTAAGACAAAAATCTATAAGCTGCGTTCGATCCGGCCTTACAGAGCAGAGTGAAGCCGATACATGGGTTTGGGGGACAGCAGATATGGCAATTTCTAGCCTGAGACCGGCCAACAGAGGAACAGAAGCAACGGGTGTGTACACAGGGACATTCAGCTGCCAGGGGCGAAACTCCCCTCCTGCTCGTCCTCCTCTGTTCTGCTTGAAAAACACAAGATTTGACTTGTCAAGCATGCCAAGCAAAGATCAAACAAGGGTTTTGTTTGAAACGTATTCACCGTGGGTGTATTTGCATCCGGATGAAGATTTCCTTCCTTCATCAGTCGATTGGTTTTTCTCGAATGGGGCCTTGTTATTCCAGAAAGGGAACGAGTCCAACCCCGTCCCCGTGCAGCCGGACGGTTCAAACCTTCCGCAAGGGGGTTCGGATGACGGTTTATTCTGGCTGGACTATCCGGCGGATAAGAACGCAAAGGAAAGGGTGAAGAGGGGAGACTTGGGAAACACCAAGGTGTATCTGCACATCAAACCAATGTTTGGAGGCACTTTCACAGACATAGTGGTGTGGATATTCTATCCTTTCAACGGGAATGCACGGCTAAAGTTTTTATTCGTCAAGAGCCTGTCGCTGGGGGATATAGGGGAGCACATTGGAGACTGGGAGCATGTTACGTTGCGCATAAGCAACTTCAACGGCGAGTTATGGCGGGCGTACTTGTCAGAGCACAGTGGGGGAACGCTAGTGGAGGCATGCGATCTAGAGTTCCAAGGTGGAAACAAACTAGTGAGCTACTCGTCGCTTCACGGGCACGCAATGTTCTCAAGGCCAGGAATGGTGCTGCAAGGGGAAGACGGGAACGGGGTGAGGAACGACATGGCGAGAAGTGACAAATTCTTGGACGCAGGAGCAGCGTACGAGCTGGTTGCAGGGCCGGGAGTGGTGGAGCCGCCGTGGCTAAACTATTATAGGAAATGGGGACCATTTGTCACACATGATATCGAGAAGACATTCCAAGGCATCGCCAAGACATTGCCTCGACTCTTGCGGACCAAATTCAATAATCTTATCAGCAAAATCCCTCGTGAGGTGCTTCAGGAAGATGGCCCCACTGGTCCCAAAGTCAAAACTTCTTGGACCTCTGATGACTTTTAGTTTTCCTCTCATCCCTTCTTGACTCATCAAACTACACACAACTATATTATTGGCTTTAAACAAAACAAAACCAAAACAAATATTCTTCAACCATTATTTAATTTGTTGCCTTTTTTTTTCTTTCCAAACATGATTTTGATCAACAACTATGGCAAGAATTATTCATATTCAAACCGAAAATATTGAATTCATTGGAAGTCATTATTATATGAATATCTTGTGTTGATTTTCCCATTCTTATATTTTATAAAATTTATTGAAAATCTGATGTAGATCAGTAAAAGTTACTTATTTGAGAAAAACAAAAATTAAACATTTAATCTCCTCTAAAAACTCAATAGCCATATCTATTTTTTTTTGGTAATGAATTCAATAGCCATATCTATGGTTTCACGTGTCTTTGGCTATCACAAATGTATTTTTCTAAAATTATTCCGCTAATTTGAAAAGTGATCTACCAATTTAGTATCTGGTTATATTTATATCTATTGTATATTGTTTTCTAAGTTTTGAGGTTAATTTTAGATTCTTTTGCTTAATGCAAATATAAAACAATTATTTTTTTATATATCATTTGTTGTTTTTTGTTTTGCATAGTTGTTGTAGCCATCAATGGTTTTCACGTATATTCCTTCTCTGACATGAAATTATATTTTATAAATGAAGGGACTGAAAGTTAACCTCACCTAATCCTAAAATGTTTAATATTGCGATTAAGTAAATCAAAGAAAAATGCAATTCTTGGTTGGAAAAGAAAACTTCAAATCTCTATTGTTTTTTATTTTTCTATTTGTCAACCAGTTGTCGTGTGCTGATCAAACTAGAATTGACCTTTTGACCAACGGTTCCTATGCTGTACAATCAGTACCACATCCACCACGTTTTTTGTCGAATGGTTTACCTGTGGATACAACCTTTAGATTTCCTACTCCTTTGCCTAGCATGCCTTCCGATGATGGAAACTTTTGCAAAAGAAGCATTGATTTGGGAGGTCTTGAGGTTACTCAGCTCTCCATCTCAAACTCAACAACACGCAGGGTATGGAGAACATATGAAGGAGGACCGGATAACATGGGAGTCAGCATCTTCTAACCTATCACCCAACAACCGACAACTTTTCGGTTGGATTCTTGTTGCAAGAGATGTATCCGGACGCAATTTAAGACCACCAGCCGATTACACTGAAGTTGGAAATACTACATCGTTGAACATCAACCAAGACGGGCCTGCATTTTTTTGGCAACCCCTATGTCCTAATGGGTATCAAGCGGTTGGTTTATATGTCACTACTTTTCATGTGAGGCCCTCTTTAGGACAAGGTTCTATAAGATGTGTTCGTACGGATCTCACGGAACCGAGTGAAGCCGATACATGGGTATGGAGGTTAAAAGAGATGACTCTTTCTAGTTTGAGACCGACCAGCAGAGGAGCAGAAGCAACAGGTGTGTACACAGGGACATTCAGTATCAAACAACTAAACTTTCCAGCTCCTCCTCTATACTGCTTGAAAAATACAAGATTTGACTTGTCTAGCATGCCAAGCGAAAACCAAACTAGGGTTGTGTTTCAAGCGTATTCTCCTTGGATATATTTCCACCCACAAGAAGATTTTCTTCCTTCCTCCGTTGATTGGGTTTTCACCAACGGTGCTTTGCTATACCAGAAAGGAAACGAATCCAACCATGTCCCTATACATTCAAACGGTTCAAACCTTCCGCAAGGCGGTTCCAACGATTACCTGTTTTGGTTAGATTACCTAGACGATAAGAAGACAAAAGAAAAGGTTAAGAAGGGAGATTTAGGGAGCGCTAAGGCGTATCTACACATCAAACCAATGTTTGGAGCTACGTTCACAGATATTGTGGTATGGCTATTCTATCCGTTCAACGGAAATGCACATTTGAAACTTTTATTCATCAAGAACTTATCGCTAGGAAAAATCGGAGAGCATGTTGGAGACTGGGAACATGTTACATTGCGCATAAGCAACTTCAACGGTGAGTTGTGGCGAGTTTTCTTGTCCAGACACAGCGGAGGAACGCTAGTGGAGGCATGTGACCTAGAGTTCCAGGGTGGAAACAAACCAGTGGTCTATGCGTCTCTTCATGTCACGCAATGTTCCCAAAGCCTGGACTCGTGTTGCAAGGCAAGTACAAGAGCGGGATAAGGAACGACATGGCAAGAAGCGAAAAGTACTTGGACGCGGGTGTTGGGTATGATGTAATTGCTGGACCTGGCGTGGTTGATGAGCCACCATGGCTGAACTATTTGAGGAAATGGGGACCTCGAGTCGACTTCAAAATCGAAGATATTCTAAACTCTATCGCCAAGATTTTGCCGACTTTTATACGGAAAGCTTTGTGCAAACTGATATAGAAGTGCTTGGTCAAGATGGTCCCACTGGTCCCAAAGTCAAGGTGACTTGGACCGGCGATGACAATTTTCTTAATAAGTCATGTGTTTATTTTGTTTTTTTTTTTGGTAAAGTCATGTGTTTATTTTGTTAACTCTTGCATTTATTCATTATACTATATCTTAAGAAATATTAGTATTTGACTTAGTCCTGTTACTATGTTCTAGATTCCTACGACTTCTGAGTGGCTCGATCTAGTCCTGTAAAATAATAACGTAGGAATTATTATGGATAGTAAAAGACCAAGGAGTGTTTAGTCTCGTGTTGGTTTGGTTTACCTAAAGCAGGAAATGTATTTGGGTATTAATGACCATATATTATAAAGACATTTGAAAAAAAAAAAAAAAAATATTTTACATTTAAATTATAAATTACATTTGTTTCTCTATTGTTTTAAAACTTTCAACGAGACGGATCCCTCCGACGAACGCGGACTTGCATCCCACCAGCCATGTGAGCCGTGAGCATCGGCACAAAAACCGGTTTATCCGTAAGGATCGGTTCAAACACAAACCGGTCAAGTATGGAAGCCACGACATACTTCATCTGGACGTACGCCATCTCTTCCCCGAGACAAACCCTTGGGCCGGCTTGAAAAACCGGAAACATAAACGGATTCACTTTCTTCAAAACTCTGCAGGTTTGATCAACGACCACCCACCGGTTTGGTCTGAACTCACCCCAGTCTTCCCCCCAAAGCTCCTCCATTCTCCCCATACCATATGGGAAATACGTCACCCGGTCTCCGGCACGCACCTCCGTACCGTCTGGTAACCGGTCGTCTGATAACGCGTGTTTGGAGTCCCACGGTACCGGAGGATACAATCGCATCACTTCACACAAACACGCTTTCAACAAACTCAGTTTCTTCAGTGACTCGTAATCGAAACCCCCTCGGGTCATCTCCTTAACCGATCGGATTTCACTAACCAGATCGTGCTCGGTTTGCTTCATGTGACCGGTGGTGATGAACCAAAACAGCCGTGTGGTGACCGCAGATGTGGTGTCCCTCCCCGCCATCACAATACTGATGACCATATCTCTCACAGTCTCGTCGCTTTCTCCGGCGACGATCAGCCGCGAGAGAAAGTCGTGGTTGGTGATCATCCTCTTCTTCTCTCGAATGATGTCATGGACGCAGCTATGAACTTGTCCGACGGCGCTTCTGAGCTCCTTTTCGGATCCAAACCCGACCAGTCTCTTCAACTTCCAAACGAAAGAGAGCGGTGCGGAGCCGCGTCCAGCGCTAACGGCAGAAGCTGTCTGGAACGCTCGGTCGAAGACGGAAACGGGAGACAACGGGTCTAAACTGCATCGATGATCGATCCCGAGGAAAACGATGCAAACAAGATTGAAAAAGAATCTACGGAGAAGCTCGTGAAGATCCAAGGGCTGAGAGGCTCCCGCAGCAGCGTCTAGAAAGGGTAAGAGCTCGTGATCGACCTCGTTCCTCAAAACGGTGACGTAGTCTCTGAGAGACTTGGGGGTGAAATCGTGAGTAGCAAGTCTCCGCTGCTTCAACCAGAGGTTCCCGTCAACGTTAAAAATGCCGTTGCCGAGAAAGTCGCCGAGAATATCCGTAAAGGGTTTGCCTTTGGGGTAGTTGTCGAAGTTTGTTTTGAGGATATACTCGACGTTGGAAGGGTTCGCCGTCACCACGGTTCTCCGGGAAGCTAAGCGGCGGATGACTACTGTCCCACTTGGGGATTCGGTTAGGAGCTCCGTATACCAATCCAGCAACCGGTTTCGGTTGCTATAGAATGAAACTATGCATCCAATAACCGGGTACGTTCTCGGTACACTGGTGTTGCTGCGGCCGCAAGGATATTTTTTTCCAGTAGAGGCGATCAGAACCACAAGTAGAGATAGAAGAAATAGAAGCAGAAGAGTGTTTGAAGCTTCCATTGTGGATTGATGATGAGCATTGAGCAGCTTCAAAGTTAATGGAAGTGGAACAAAATGGTCATAATAGAAGACAAAGGAGATTTCACGCACGAGCTTTATTTTCACTTATTTTAGTTAATTGCTTTCCCTTTTATATTGTAACATATAATTGAACCTCTTACAGTGGACTTCCATTACAATTTTTTACCCCAATTTTCTCCTTTTTTTTTGTTTTTTATAAATATTAATCAATCATTCTGCTTCTTCAATCTTCTACACACTTGTAAAAAGTAGGGATTATAATCTTCCATCGAATGATATAAAAAGTGAATCTAGGTTTGTAACAACATTAGTTACGTTGGATATTCGACAAGTGTGGTATTTATTAAATTCGAGATTAACCCGAAAATTACGGTACCGATCATGGGGAATTTGTGACACATGCAGAATTAACTTTATTAAAATATCAACAGGCGACGGACGGAGCATACATACAAAAATACTCTTGAGATGTATATATTATAGTCGGAAAAAGAGACTGGTAGACAATTAATTTAAGTTAGTAAGTTTCGAGAGCGATAATCAAAACTAATAAGCTTATATATATGTATGTATGGCCACGATCGAAACACATGGAGCTGCTAACTGCTAAGACATCAATCATATATCTCTGTAATATTACAAGTGCCCCGCATAATAAAACGTGACATGATTAATTAGAATACATAAATAATACAATCAGTACTAAACTAGCAGAAGCAATCAATGAGGATAAATTATTGAGAAAAATGTGCTCACCCATAAGACTTCATTAATATATATATAAAATAATGGATAATAGCATATATAGTTCTAAAAGCATATAAATAATTTATTAATTCACCACATGACATGACAACATATATGGGTTTTCTCATTTTATTCAACTAAAACCCCAACTTTGCTCTCACAACACAAATCCACAATCATATTTGAGGAAGTTTTTTAACATTTTTGTTTGAGAGAAAAGGTAAAACCGTAAAAGACAGAATAGACAACGTCTCCTGGTAACTTGGTCTACAAGTTTGAGTGGCCAAGCCGGAGAAGGACACGGTGCCACGAAGTGTTGAGAACCCCTCTTAGGTTCCACACCGACTCCACATTTTCTGGCTGAACATTCGCCGCCGAATCAACCTGCCCATTTCCACAGTTTTCTTTTCATTCTGGTAACAAAAAAAATCTACTTAATATTAACCGAGCAAAATGTTGAGGCTTCTACCGCTTTGGCGATGACCTCGGTAGTCTGCGAAACATCAATGGTGGCTTCAAACAACACCCATGCCCATTTGTCGCTGGAGTTGTGTTCAGAGATGTAATGCTTCCCTGGTTGCTGCGTTCTAGAAGCTTCCACCCAGTTTTTGCCTCCATCGAGGGATATGTCCACTCGCTCTATCCCGCGTCCACCTCCTGAAACTGCATACCCTTTGATGCTAACCTGCACATGTCGAATTACACATGAATTAGTTACTGCTTTCATGCATTAGTCTGATCAGACGGGGTAGTGAAATTGGCTTGAAAAAAAACAAACCTTTCCAGGCTTCACCATTTGCACGTCCTCCACAGAGCAAATTGCACTCTGTTAACCATTAAAACACATGGGTCCAAGACTCATGAGAACCTAATGTTCAAATTTATATTCTACTATCTGATTAAATTCATAAGCCAACTGGTCCAAATAAGTAAAATTTTCAGTATACCAGTATATTAATGATCAGTCGATTCAATAAAAAAGAAAACCCTCATCAACTGCTTTCATCGATGAATAGATAATTATGAACTTCGCTAGGAAATTGGAAGATCCAAATTGATCAGCGCATATAATAAAGGAGAAACGCCACTACAAAGTCAAACATATTGTAAGAAAGAAGGTAAACTTGTATTTACCTGAATAGGGAAATCCATTTGCGGCCTCCTTGAGGACCAGTCGATATTATCCCAATTGACAGAGGGTGGGAACATTTTGTAATCTTTCTGCATGAAGAATCCCTACACCACATTTTGATTCAAGTCTCTTACAATGTTAGAACAGTTTCTGATTGCTTTAAGCAGGGTAAGAGCAGGAGACTATTGTTGAGACCTGGCATTCTTCGGCGATGACATTTATGGAATCAAGCCATTTGACCGAACGAGCACCAATCACACCAGGGACAACCACCCTAAGCGGAAATCCGTGATCCCTGTTCAGGGTCTTAACAGAAGAAACAAATAATTGCAACAAACAAGCATATCTCTGAGTACAAGTGATGATTTTCGAATACATTGAGAAATAAGAGAAAGATATCAAACCTCTCCATTCATTTCATAAGCAAGTAGAACATCAGCTTCAGGATTTGTGGCTTGACTTAGAGGGATTGACGCCTTATAAGGGCCCCCGTTCTCCTCCTAGAGGTAGAGCGGAGATTTTTCATGTGAACCAATGAAAGCATAACAAAACATCTATAAAAAAAAAAGGTCGAATATATATACCTTACAGCGATCAACACTAACGAGCTCAACATGTCTGCCTCCTAAATTGGTTGAACCTGTCAGGTTTGCTATCCCCACAAGCTCAAGAACATCAGCCAATTTGGCCCCACCCCAGACAGCTGAAGAAAGGAAAGGCACATTTTTGTATATACACTTGAAGCAAAGTATTGTTTTGGTAAAACAGATGGGAATGGGAAAAAAAAGAGAGAGAGAGGGAGAGAGAGGAACCGTTGCCAATAGCAGAAACATCCCATCCAACACCTCTAACATTCCTAAGTTTGCTCATGGCAGTCCTTCTGTTACCGGCACACTGCATTGATACAAAAGTTGACGTAAATTAATCGGTGTGGAGAAAAGTAAATATAGAATAAGAGCTGCAAGCACAGAATGATAAACCTGTAGAGTAGCAGTAACATTGTACTTTGGGAGGGACCTGCGAATTTGGGATATAAATGCTTGATAGATAGATGATACAGTGTTTCATTGTATTTGGATCAGAAAAACTCAAAAACAGAAGAGAAGCATATAATCATAATAGTAAAGGGGACCTGATGTCTTTGATAAAGAGTTTTCTGGGGTTCTGGATCAACCCAGTAAGGGTGACGGAGTAGCTGCTTTTGGCAAAAAAATAGCAGAAATTAGCGGAGGACAGAAAAGGAAAAGGAGAAGGCGAGAGAGGGGGAGAGACCTTTCAAGGTGATCAACAATGGGGATGGGACCATGATTTCGCTTGTAGAAAAGGTCAACGGGAGTGACATAAGACGAGACTAAGGCCGAGCGGGGAGGCTCAGCGTTGAAAGGTTCCTGGATCACACAAATTAGATGCCAAAGGTAATCGCAGCAGACAGAGAGTAAGTAGTGGTCGATTCCATCTAACATACGATTTGGTCAAAGGGAAGAAGAAGAAGAAGAAGAAGCTTGCCTTGGCGTTGATTTTGAGAGAAGGGTGACGAGGTGGCTCCTGCGAGTACTCGGACGGACCTCGGATTCCAGGCATTCTTTCTTTGTCGCCGTCGAGGTTTCAGTGAAGATTGGCTTGTTGTTGACGACGTTTCAATTTTACACTCAAATATTTTTCTCTTGATTGGTGCGGAGCAGATGGCAACGGTGTCGTTTTGGAGGTATGCTTTTTTTCTTTTCTTGTTTGTGTGGTGTGTGGAGTGTGGAGTCAGACTCTCATAATCATAATCATAATAATATCCCAAATTGACCCCAAAAAGGAAAAGGAACCCGAGATGGCGGCGGCCAAACTTCACGGCGGCGACATAGCGATGCGTCTTCCTTCCCCGATAACTAACCGGCTGCCGAGCATAGCCTCTTTCGCTCCACGGAGGCAGATAGTTGCGTTGGCGGCGAAGAGAAGCCCTAAACGTCTGAAGTACTCGACTCCTCGCTTCACTAAGGTCGGCTTTGAATTGTGATTCTTCTCAATCAGGAATCAGGAGGTTGTTGTGAAAATTTGTAAGTAATCCCTCTCCAATTAGTAAACAGGAGGGGGGATTGGTGTACATTGAGGTCGATCCTAGTGGTGGTGATGCCTGGAAACTCCAACCTGTGATTGACCTCCTCAAACAAGGAGCTGTTGGTGTTATTCCCACTGATACCGTGTAAGTTGTCGCTGCTCTTTTGGGAATCTATCTTCTTCTTCTTCTTCTTCTTCTTCTTACCATGTTCATATTCTCTTTCTATTTCCCTAGGTATGCCATTGCCTGCGATTGTAAAAACCATTCCGCCGTTGAGCGTCTCCGAATGTTAGCATCTCTGTGAATCCATTCTTGTCTTTGTATATACTAGAGGCTTTTCCTTGTAGCTGACTCAAAACCCCGTCTCTTTCTTCTTTCCCCCTTGCCTAGGATCAAAAAGATTGAACCATCCAAGGTACGAGCCCTGCATGCCACCATCCCTTTTACACTGAATTTCCCACTGGTTTTGGATTCCCACATGGCTCTCTCTCTCTCCTCTTATTCTTCTTTTGCCTTTCCCCGTTGGAACTTTTATGCAGCCACTTAGCATCTTATGCCGCTCCTTACGGGATATAGACACATTTACAATGGGGTTTCCTCGCGGCGATAGTCACGGTCATGCTAACATTTTTCGAGCTGTCAAGCAATGCCTTCCTGGACCTGTGAGATATACCCCCTTGTAATCCCATACTGCCGCATATTAGCAATATCCAAACCCATTCACTTGGATTGTCCTTTGCATTCGTTTTCACAGTACACCTTCATCTTGACTGCAAGCAAAGAATTACCCAAGCAGTGTGTTGGGTTTGGCACCACAAATGTGAAATATGCATCAAGGAAAAACGTGGGTGTCCGCATATCTGATGACGCTGTCTGCCAAGCTATTCTCCAAGAGATGGATTCCCCACTGATTTGCACCAGGTTTGGTTTCTTCTTCAATATCATCTTCACAGTGACATTGTGGACTCTCCTAGGAAGTTGTGCGTAATCTATGTTCTGGTAAATGATGACAGTGTCAAAGGGCCAAAAGAAAATGAATGGATGATTGATCCAACCGCAATCGGTGACATATATGGACCAAAGGTATATATATATAAACTCTCACTCAGTCCCGGCGAGTAAAGAAGCTAGCTCCTTGGTTGTTTTACCCTCTGTTTCGGCTTCCTTTTACAGGGTCTAGATTTTTTGGTAGATGGAGGTGTGCGAGTGGCTGAACCATCCACCATCGTGGATATGACAGGACCATATCCCAAGGTCATACGGGAAGGCAAGGTAATAGATTATCCAACATTCTGTGATTCATCCATCAAAGGACCTTAACATGTCTGCGTGTTTGGTTTGTACAGGGACCTATATTTCCATGGATGGTGGTTGATGGAATCGTGGGAACATAGTAATTCTTGATGTTCGTTTGCATATATATTCTCTAGTGTTTTAGTACTACTTTCACTCTATTTCTTCGGTCAGTTCTTTTTGGGAAAACTTATACAACCTATTCTGTAAACTTTCATCTTAGAACGGGAAAAAAAACTAACAAATGAGAGATGTATAGATAACAATATCAACAAGAACCTTCACCCATGCAAGAATAGCAAGATAAATCTCTCCAGTCTAATTTTCTTATTTTAATTCTAACTGGTGGGTGCTATCAATGCGCTCACAGTTCTCCCGGAAGTTCACGGAATTCTCTCGGATATTTTCCTTTGTATTAGTCGTTTCTCTTCTTTTTGCTGTCGATTTGTGCCTCGTCTTTCGAATGGTACCGCGGACTCGCTTGCAAAGCATTCCCTCAGCTTATTTTGTACAAACTTTGATTAAGTAATTATAGATTTGGGTGCACAAAAAAAAAAAATTCTAAACTCACAATTGTTTCAGCTCTCTTGGTTTAAATGATATTTACATTCAATAAAATATATATATATATATATATCAACAAGGATACTACAAACACAAAAATATATACATTATATCAACAAGGATACTACAAACACAAGGAGGTGTTTAATTAGATGTGGATATGAATTTGAATGGCGATGACCAAAATGGTGATGATAGCGAAGAAGAGAATGGCATGAACCAATATGGAGATGCCGCTTGTGGTCATGTTGCCGCACTCTAACACTCTCCTCCTCGCCGGCAACTGAAAGAGGAGTCCCGGGGATAACACTACGAATAGCACCACCGCAACTGCCACAGGTCCCCAATCAGCTCCTCCCATATTTGAGCTCCAAAAGATTTGATCTTGCTAAGGCTCCGTCGCCTTTTAATTTGATCGTCTTAATTACTGGGTGTCGAGTAACAAACTAGAGCAAAATTACATTATATATAGGTGATCTTGGTGTATATATATACTTGTGTACGTATACTTCTGTTGAAATCCAGTAATAATTATACTATGTGGCTTCTATAAGAGACAACGTACGTTTAGTGGCTATGCATACCAACTCTTTATATAAAGGTTTTTTAAAAAGAGAAAAAAGTGTTTGATACTTTAGTTGTGTTTATTGGTTTGGTTTCGATTCTTTTACTGATTTGATGGGTAACCGACTTAGAGCATAATAAACAAAACAAAAAAAATGGACTGATGAATTGAGAAGATTCAAAATTGTTAATTAGGGTTATATATAAACTTTATATATAAAAAAAGAAATTGAGGGTAAATTATGTTTTGTGAGAGAGAATATGGTTCTTTCCTTCATCCTCGAAACTTGAGGTTAAACCCTCTTCCACTTTTGTCCAGATACAATTAAGCCACATAAACTAATATAGTATGTTGGATACATCAAGAAGATGATAAATATAAACACATAAGCAAGTAGTAGAAATACATAGAGAGAGAGAGGGAGAGAGAGAGGGAGGGAGAGAAGAAACGGAAAACAAAGTAAAAGAGAAACTGCGCTAATAATTAAAGAGGGAGGGAATGGGGTTGGACTGGGGACCGGTGCTGATGTCGGTTATATTCTTCATCCTGTTGAGCCCTGGAGTTCTGTTTCAGCTGCCCGGAAAGAGCAAAGCTGTTGAGTTCGGTCGGTTTCAGACAAGCGGCCCATCCATTGTCATCCACACTCTCCTCTTCTTTGCCTTCATCACCATCTCTCTTGTCGCCCTTCACATCCACATCTACGCCGGCTAGCCTTTGCTGTACCTTCTCCCTCTCTTTTCTGATATATAATTATCCCTTCCTTTTGTGTGGAGACTGGCGCGCGAGTACATCATTATTTCCTTTTCTACTGCATTTTTCTAATTAATTGTAATTATTTAAATTCATTTTATTTCAATGTCATAATATATATAGGTCAACGAGCTGCACCTAAATCCTAGCTATATAATGGTCAATCTTCTTCATCTAAGCTAATAACAGTCGTCAGTCGTCTCTCACAATGGTCCAGCTTAAACCTTTCTCGAACCGAAGATATATATGAAGCGGCTCTAGCGTCAACGCACTCTTCCACACCATTCATCCCCCTACCGATCAGCTTCTCTGCCATTGTGTTCAGCTTCTTTTCCATATCCTTACCCTCATGAGCCAAGGCTGCATGCCAATCACAGCCCATCATTAATATTTAATTTATACGCATCTGTACATATATATATAATCAAGGAAAAATGAAATAGCTATTAGCGATAATTAGAGAGAGAAGAAAGCTAGGTTATACGTTACGTACATGGTTGAAGGAGGAAGCTAACTTTAGGAGGGAGAGGTGTAGTGGTAGTTACGTAGTTACTGATATCAGGTCGATGAGCGTAGGAAGTCATAGTGGACGAAGTGTAACTATGAACATTATTATAAAAGTCTTGGGAAGGAGTGAGAGGTTTCCCAGATTTGCAAAAGGGTATTAGCTTAGCTATCATGAACCCTCTTGATGATCTCCTTCTGTTCATCTCCATGATTCACTTTGCTTGCTTTTTTTTTTTTTTTTTTATGTCTACGGAGATATACTTATTGGTGGTGGTTATTCATAAATTTATAGCGTGTCGTTGCACATATATATATACGAAACTAGGTAGGGCTTCGTTATACCGTGGCAAAGACATGCAGAAAGATAGAGATTAGCTAGAGAGGGTATCAAAGACGCGTGGTCCTTCGTCTTGCAATAATATCACTCAGAAGCATCGCATTTTGATGACGAGTTACTTAACTTTCATGCTCAAACAGCCACGACGATCTACGACGACGCATCTACTTTTACAAACTATATATATACTTGCTAATTGCTATATACATTACTGCAAGGTTCGATTGATATGCAGTAAATTGACGCTGTTTAATGTGTATCTGTTCCGCATTTCAAACGATCGAGTTTGTGAGAGTTCAAGTGTTTATTAATTCAGGAGGAGAATAAGGAACTGTGCGTATATATTTTTTACGCGTGTATTAATTATTTTCTGTGTATCCAACTTTTTCGTATAATAAACGGATTGCATATTTTTTATTTCTTTTTTCTTTTTTATGTGCAGAGAAAAATGTGGATAAGTTTTATATATCAAGAATGGGAATAAATTGATGATTCGTCAGAGATATTATATTAAATGCAATCGAATAACGTTATCTTTGTGCGGTTGTATTTTTTGGTAGTGGCGGCAAAGGCAAAGGCAAGGGCAGGACGAGAAGGTCGTTAAAATGTCTTTAAAACAATGAATAAGACTCTATGGGATGCTTGTAAAGATGCAAGGAAATTAAGATCTCATATACATAGTTGAACAACTCTACTTATTCACTCGTGATTAAACTAGATAGTCACAGTCATTTACTTAATCAATTTTGGAGAAAAAGGCAACATAAATTGGTTAATCACCAAAGAAGAAAAAGAAACAGAAATGTGTGTTATTATCACAACACTACTCTTCAATGGACTTTAGTAAGCATATCTCTTGAGATCACTATAGATGATACTGTTGCATATTTTTTTGTTTGCTTTAGTATTTAAATGGTCCAAAGGTATAATATTATCTCTATTATGATGCTTACGTCGGCATATAGTATTCCAGATGACATTGTCCTTATTAATTATTATTTTTTGTTAGGTTAAAATGTTGATGAAGATTAAGCACACGTGTTATTAATTAATTAATACTTCCATAATAATGATTCAATGAACAGCTGGGCTTTTATAGGGCTGTTTGATATCAACTAAAACGAAAAAGACGAGAGCCCATATAGAGTGAAATGGGCCCAACAAAGTAACAGTCAAAATCTCTCTCTTGGTCAGTTTTGATATTTTGTCTCCTTGGTGGGCAGACCAATTTCATCTTGGCGGTCCTGGTGCTCTGCTCGTCCTGAAGGGCGACGTCAAGGAATCAGGCTCCGTTATCAAAGGCGACGTCAAGCATATTCACAACTGGACCCAACAAGAAGCTTCCGCCGCCTCCAAGTTAGCCTTTCTCTTTCTCTCTCTCTCTCTCTCCCTTTTAACGAAGGTTTTGATTCGCTGTCTCCCCCCCCCCCCCCCCCCAAAGGGGGGGTTTTTGAACCCGAAAGATAAATAATTAGTGTGTGTGTGTTTATAGGGCTGGTTTGATTTAGCTGTTTTTGAGATATGTGAAGAGAGCTAAGAATTTCAAAGTAAAGGTCTCCCATTCCACTTGAGCAACATTCGCTCTTTCTTGGTAATTACATTCCCAATTCCTCTCTTACTCATTAGTCACCATTTGATGCATTACGGCAGTTATAAAAGTAGGAGAACTAAAAGGGAGGGAAGATGTGCATTTGGGTCAAGATGTGGTGGAAATTATCTGAGGGTTTATCAACCGGATGGGTATGAGCTCCTTGGTAAGTGGTTACCACCACCCCTTCGTCTCCTGACAGCCTCTGCACTTGCTTCTTCACTCTGCATCCTTCTTGTGTGCACTTATAATAGCTCCTACACATATATGTGTTTTTTACTACTCATGAGTCCTATTCTCTAAATGCTATCTCCAAGATGCATCAAATATCATATTTTATTAGGTGTGTACATTACATACATACCTGGGGAATAGATTGTTCTTGACAGCTTTTTGCCCGTACTTCCTCCACCTGTATCCATCATCCAGAATATCAACCTGGCTTCTTGTCTGAAACGCGAATTTTGCTTCTCTCTCTTTCTTCTTCCTACTCTTGGGTTTCCCTTCTTCCTTATTCTTCATTTTCTGGTCTGACAATGATGATGTTGTTGTTGGCTGAGCTGCACACCATGTCCTTTTGTCGACCCCATGATCTGATGACGAACATGGAAACAATACCTGACACCTCTCCTCCATCTTTCTTACTTCCCTATGCGTTTATGGAGGGGGTGAGAGAGAGATAGAGAAGCAATGTTCTGAAATTGAAATTTTCCAACCCAAAAAAAAAAAGATTACAAACATATGCTTCTTGTGTGCGTATATATATATGTGTCTGTGTGAAAAGGCAAGGGAGGGAGAGACGTAGACGGCAACGAAGATACCCGAGAAAGTGAGATTGATAAAATGGCTAAATTAGCGGTACCATCAGATAAAAAGGGTTTGGTGGGAAATGTTTTTAAAAAAGTGTGGCGGCTTCAACTTTTTTTTTATTGACATGTTGCAGCTCCTTCGTTCAACTTTCAACTTTTGGTGCAATGGACTCAAACTTCAAACTGTATTTGGTTAAGAGTTAGCTTCTGAGAGTAATGTATAAAACTAATTAGGCTGCATGTGTAAAGTAGGACGATAATTTCGACATCACGTGTTTTTGAAGGTTTTTCACCTACCAAAGTTTGATTTGATTTGATTCAATTTCTAGTATTCAACTAAACAATGGGCTCCGAATGATGTTGAGATTGTTGACTATTTGGCTAGATAGTTGCTTTCTTCCACATTTGTCTAAATTATAAATTTATATATAATCATTGCTTAGATGGATTATTCAAATTCACTTTTTCCAAGAAACACACACAAACATAGGATAGTAAACATATTTGATCACATGTAGGATTTGAGACGAGGTCTCGTAAGCGACTGGCCTCCATCCACCAAGACAGTGGTGCCTGTCATGAAGCGTGAGCCGTCGCTGATAAAGTATAAAACAGTGGAGTAGAGGTCTGTGTCCGGGTTGAGCCACTGGCCAAGGGGTGCAGCATCCTTGACCAGCTTCTGCGCTCGGTCCCTACCTACAGAAGCTGGATATTCATCATCCAGATGCAGCCCTCTAGAGATCATGTTGACCCGTATCTTGTGCTTCCCAAGACTCATGGCGGAAGCCTGATGAAACCCAACCATCAAACCATTGAATATACTAGATACATTTAATAAGGAAAATCATACCCGAACAAGCTGATGAATAGCGGCGGAGGTTGTAGTGTAGGCATCAGCTCCAGGGTAAAGCACTCTCTCTCCGCTAGCAATAGTGGCCATGAAGACAATGGAACCTCCTGATCGATGGTCCTTCATCCTTTTGGCTACAGCCTTCAAGAGAAACCACGGAGCGGTGAGATTGATCTTTGTGATTCTCTTGAACTCATGTTGAGACACTTGCAGAATGTCCTGAATCTTGCCTGCAAGAAAGAAAGAGTGGTCGGTGTTGTTGAATTGTAGTGAATGGAATGGGATCCCTCCAATTCAAGTAAAGAAAAGAAAAGAGAACCTTGGTAGGTATAAGAGTTGAGAAAAGCATCGAAATTGCCTAAACAAGTCCAAGCCTTTTGGACAGCGGCATCGAAAGCATCTTGGGAATCAGCTTCCATGTCGAGAGCAACCAGCTCCACAGGGAAGGCTCCCTCAATGGAATCTCTAATCATGTCTACAATGCTCTTTAGAGAATCCTCATCTCCCATCAGAACCAACCTAAACCATCCTAACAACCACATTGATTATACACAAATTCAATTCAACTATTAAAAGAAAGAAAGAAAGAAAGAAATTGAGAGGGTGACTGACTTGCAACCGTGTTTGGCGAGATGGAAAGCGATGCTTCGAGAAACCTGGTCGCCGTTGGATGTCATCAACACTTTCTTCGCCGTTGGATGATTTTCCACCATGGTTACAAATGAGTCAGAAATGTAGCAGAAGAGAGCACAGAGTAGAGGAGATGAGATTCAATTATAAGAGTAGTGGGTGGGGTGGGGAGTGATCGCCCTCGCCGTTCTTCAAATGAGAGGCTGGAAAAGCTCTTTACCGGAATTCTATTCTTGTGTTACGAGCAAAAACGACTAGACAAAAAAAAGATATAATATTGCCTAATCACATGACCCACGTTTATTTAACCCAATTCAATAATATATATTGATAATGATTGTTTTTTTTTTTTTTTTTGGTGGTGATGATGATGATAGTGCGCCTGGATATGTGCCCAAATAAAAGCCCAAATAAAACCTGAGACAGGCCCAGGTCCATTTGAATATGTGCAAACTGCAATCCTTAAAATCTCTCAATTATTCAACTTCCTGGCGGCGAATCTTTAATCTATCTCTAGCATTTTGGGAGCACCTCCGGGGTTGGGGTTGGGGTTGCTTCGGAATCAGCTACTCTTTTTCTTCCATTCTTTTGAAACCGCGTGTGACTTAAAAATGAAAAAAGAGAGAGAGAGAGAGAGAGAGAGACTAGGCACAAAATCATACTGTATTATTGTGAGATGTCAATTTTCCCAAGTGGGTGGTGGAATCCGCAACTAAAAATGCTTTTGATGACGATGTTATGCTTTCTCTCCGTTTTCCACTTTATATTGCTAGTTCTTCCACACAGCACAATGGTGGATTTCATTATAAATCAACCTTCAGAAGTGCCAAATGATGATGATCCCTTTGTTATGCCCAAATCTTGAGATTGAGAGAATAGTATCCTGATCTTTTGAGATAGATGATCAATTCAAATCTTCACCGACTTTTATATTCGAACAATTTTGTGTGTAAGTTGTGCCACGTCATCTCAAAGAATCTTTAGTGGCACGTGCTGGATCCGGGGCAGCAAAACGGGCTGATGAAAAGGTGAGGCACTGAGGCCTACCTCCACCATTTTATCCTCTCTCTCTCTCTCTTTCGTTTGAAACATAGTATAACTTTGTGTGTCTAATTCTCCTCAGAATTTGGAGGTCTCACTTTCCTACTCTCTCCCCCTGTCGTCTCTGCTGCACCACCCAAATCAATCGGGATACAACAACCAACCATGGATGATGATGAATATGCCAAGCTCATCAGGAGAATGAATCCACCCAGGTTTTTCTTCCTCTGTTTCTCCATGCTCCCCACATATCTTGTGTGTCTTTGTCTATTTGTAAAGACTTGAGCTTCTCAAGTTTCTTTTTTTACGGTTTTCCTGTTCAAAATCCTCTATGTATCATGGAAACAGAGTTGTAATAGACAACGACGCCAGCGATGATGCCACTGTTATTCAGGTTTATATATATAAACTCAATTATGTGTGGCCTCTGTCTACAAAGCCAACAGAGTTCCCTATTTGATACTACGCGATTTGTTTGTTTTAAAAAAGGTTGATAGTGTGAACAAACATGGGACTCTATTGGAAGTAGTGCAAGTGCTTACTGATATGAATCTTGCGATCAAGAAAGCCCACATCTCTTCCGATGGAGGTTGGTTCATGGACGTCTTCAAAGTGATCGACCAATTTGGCAGGAAGATCAGAGACACACAAGTCCTTGACTATATCCAAAGAGTATGTACTCACTTATTTTCCCCTTCTTAGCTAGTCTAACTCTAACCAACAGTTGTGATAAAAACGTTTGTTGTGCGCAGAGGATAGAGAGCAACGCTGGGTGGTTTATTCCACCTTTGAGAAGTTCAGTTGGTGTAATGCCCTCTGACGAATACACAGCGATTGAGCTCGCTGGAACGGACAGACCCGGTCTGTTGTCTGAAGTATCTGCTGTTCTCACTGACCTTCACTGCAACGTTGTCAACGCTGAGATATGGACTCACAACACCAGAGCTGCAGCGGTTATTCATGTTACGGACAATTCAACTAATTCAGCCATTACTGACCCCGTTCGCCTCTCCACCATCAAAGAGCTGCTGTGCAATGTAGTTGGGACCAACAGCGGTTCAAGAGCTGCAAAAACGGTCTTCTCTTGTTCTGATACACACAGGGAGAGACGGTTGCATCAGATCATGTTTGATGATAGGGACTACGAGGGAGTCAAAAGATCGGCGTCAAGGCCCAATGTCACACTAATGAACATTGACAAGGATTATACCGTTGTAACCATGAGGTCCAAAGATAGACCAAAGCTTGTGTTTGACGTAGTCTGTACTTTGACTGATATGCAGTATGTGGTGTTCCACGGCATGGTCAGCACAGAACCAGTGGAGGCTTATCAGGTAACTAAATGGGTTCCCATGTAAAAAGCTAGCTATCTGTTGGTGTTGGGATCGCTTTTCTAACACATAATAATATTGCAGGAGTTTTACATCCGTCATGTCGATGGACTTCCCATAAACTCGGAAGCAGAGCAAGAACGTGTCATACAATGTCTGGAAGCAGCCATTGAGAGGAGAGCATCTGAGGTAATCAAATAGAAATCTGCCATTGGCTCAAAAACATAGATTATGCATTGTATTCACAACATCCTTTCAGGGTTTAGAGCTGGAATTATTAGCAGAAGACCGAGTTGGTCTCCTCTCAGACATAACCAGAACATTCCGAGAGAACAGCTTAACAATTGTGAGAGCAGAGATCTCGACGCGAGAGGGTAAGGCGAAAGACACTTTCTACGTTACAGACGTGACAGGAAACCCAGTTGAATCAAAAATAGTGGAGTCAATCAGACAACAGATAGGAGTAAGTAAGCTGAAGGTGAAGAAGGACGAGGATTGCTCTGTTCTTGGTACGGGCAGGCCTTGGCAAGAAACAGCAATGGGGTATTTACTAAGTAACATCTTCAAACCCAAGTCTCACACATAGAGTATGTGCATTGTATAGACGAGGTTAGACAGATTATGGCATTCTAAAGCTGATGGCGATAACTGTGTGAAATTTGGCGTCATGTAAAGAAGTCCCTAGTGTAAATTTGTTTGATCATCATCAAATAACAGGAGGTGTGTTTGATTAGGTATGAAAGAATCCAGAAGACATTGGTGTAAATGTGTGTATAGCAAAATGGAAAATCATCTAATTTAATAAATTTGAAAGATTAATAAGAAGAGATGAAGAGCAGGGGGATGGGGGAGAGAAAGATGAGCTTTAAAACAAACACACAAGTCTCTCTAATTACAAACTATAACCTAAACCTGTCATTACAGCATCTCGATTAGTTTTCCTAGACTTCCTTAACCCATTATCTTAATTAGACAGAGAGCTATAGCCTTAGCTTTTAGACAAAAAAAAAAAAAAAAAAAAGCAGACAGGGAAAAGAGGATCAAAGCCAAAGAGCGCCGGCGTCTTTGAGAAGAGGAACGAGAGAGCCGTTGATGTGGGAAGCCATGACTCTGTCCATAGCTCCGACAAGTTTGCCGCCGATGAAGACGACGGGAAGGGAACCCGGAGAAGAGGAGCCGGAGCAGCCGAGGAGACGGATAAGGGATCGCTGGATGTCGCCGCCGTAGGGGTGGAGGTCGAGCTCGTGGACGGTGGGGCTGACGCCCATTCCTCGGAAGAGACCTTTCACGGCGTGGCACATGCAGCACGTGCTCACGCTGAATATCACGACGGCGCTCTCTGCGGCAAGAGACTCAATGCGAAGCAGACCAGTGTCAGCCACCATACCCACACCGCCGAATCCTAGTTTGTTCATCTTGTACGAACCCCATGATTCTGTCTGGTACTGCATTTTTTTTTTTTGTTGAAACGAACGAAGAAATAACAACGTACGAGCAAAAAGAGCGAGAAAGATTGGGTCTGAGTTTTAGTAAGGTTTTAAGGGTGAGGAGAGCCATGCAGAGTATTTATAGAGCGGCCTAGCTAGCTAGCTAGCTCTCCCCACACCCATCTAATTAATTAAGTCCAGCTCATCATCATCAGTTTCCTCCTCTCTGATTAGTTTTATCACGCTTTCTTCTTTTATCTATTTTACATATCCATTTCTTTTCCTTGTGTTATAATTTTAAATTAGTAACCCAAGGGGTAATATATAGTATTTTCTTTCAAAAAAAGAAAAAAAAACGAACAGGCTTTTATCACAAGGGGGGGTTGTTGGTAATAGACGGCTCCGTCTGTCCTTCTTGTCGGCTCTTACCGCTCTCCCCCATTAAATTTTCTTACCACTTCTTACAATTAGAGTAATATTCCTTATTTCAACCCTTTTTTTTTGTTTTGTAGAAATTATAACAACATATATTTAGCAGCAACCCATTTTTTTCTCTAATTATGATATATGTAAATACATCATTTATAAGAACAACAAAACCTTGGAATCATTTTAATCCCGTACGTGTCTCTGCTTTAAAATATCTACCAACAAACAAAATGTGTTAAGCAATATACTCTCTAGCTCTCTCTCTCTCTCTCTCTGGTATATAACATAAAACTATGAACTAATTCGTTATTCTTCTAGTTTCCAATAATTATTAATTAGTAATTAGTACCCATGGAATTAGCATTAGCATACATCGTACATGGGTTTAATTATAAAAATAAACTTTGAACAGTACTTCTACATAGAAAAGCCTGTAAAATAAACAATCAAAGTTAATCTGTCATATGCTTTTGGCTTCCACGCTTATGTCTTTTATATGCAAATTTAATATGCCTTTTTGTTTCTCATTATCATGTTTGAGCTCCACAATATATATGTATATTACTCTTTAAATTATACATTTGAAACGAAGGAATGATATGGAAGAGGAGAAGATTTTATACGTATAAATTTGAACAGAGTAAGAGAAGTCCGTACAGTACAGTTATGCTCCCTCTAACTGATAAAGAAAGTTACTTCTTTTGGTGTTTAAACAATCTCATGTATATTTCTTCTTTTCTGGAAAAAAAAAAAAAATCTTTGCATGAAAAATCGTAAAAGATAAATAATCTTGTCGGATTGTGTTTGTCGGATCGCTTTACTGTCTTTTTATTAAAATCTAGTTTTCCTTACAGAAGGTCTTACGTAACACTTGTCATACAAATGGTTTCTACCAACTTTGATATGTCCGATATAACCCTTTCTAGACGCAGTATACATGATTTTGACTAAGGGCACTTTGTAAATTAACACCTGAAAACTTGAAACTTTTGTTCATTCCTTATTCCTTTGTGTATTGCTAATACCATTACATATTTTGAAAGGTTAAAACCCTTAAACCATTATACAAAAGGTAAGGTTCACCGCAGGAACTATAATTTTTTTCGTTTTATAATCATCAATAAAACATATGTATATCTTTCTTCATCTTATGAAGAGTACATACATTTCATTTAATTTAATTATCAAAAAAAATAAAAATTATAATTTAGTTATCACAAGCTAGAACGATTTTAGAAACTACTGTATATTTAGTTATCACAAGCTAGAACGATTTTATATATGCAAATACAAACGTACGTGCTTGTGAATGGGATTCGCACAATCCAACGGTGGAAAAGGAAAAGATTAATTACATCGAATAGAGAAGAATTGATCGATCGGACGGGTAGGGTTAGAAGGCTGGAAACGAGAGCCCTCTGACTTATTACTATAGTATGTATATTACAAACTGCGACAAAATATTATAAATGGAAAAAAAAAAAAGGAAAAAGAATACGAGCGTGATGCTATCTTTTCAGCTTTATCTGTTCTTTGCTGTTGATAAAACATCTGCGTGTATGTCTCTAGCGCCATACGAAGTATTAATGTTTTGCTTTGTTATAAATAATACTATCTTCCTTCATTTAATATCTTTTAAAATTTAATTTCGTTTTATTTCTTCTTACGGTGAAACAAAGCCGATAGAGAGATGAAAGTAGAGATTCGAACTAAACCCTAAACTCAGCTTTAGAGTTACATATGTTGTCCCATCGATCTTCCAAGTATAATGGTCCGAGTCTGATTCCAACGACCAAGATATATATGTCTCCGCGTGTGGATGGTATATGATATACTCATTTTTTCATCCATATGGATGGTGCACGTATATATATATGTATCTGGTTTTGATCAAAAACATAAAAAATATATATGTATCTGTCATACATACAAATTGTATATATTATCTGTGTCTATGTGTAATAATTGTGCATATATATATATATATATGGAATGTATAATTATATAGTGCCTAGCCTATATACACTATACGTGTCTTATATATGTATCAATGCAATGTTAATCTTTTTATGGGTATGAATTATATAAGTTACATGCATTAAGCTGTAGGTATAGCTAAGTAATAAGTCTTTAAAAGAGTAGTTAAAGACTATGATAAACGTAAGTTGGCAAAAAGATAAAGGAAGATGCATGTCGCATGCATGTCGGTGTCGCGGCGAAAAGGAGGTGTGATAGAGAGAGAGTATTTGTGGGAGTGCTCACGGATTCCCTTAAAAGAGAAAATCAGTTATTTATAAAAGATCAACCTAAAGCCCATGCAAACTGCAATCCCGCCACTCGATCTTCTCTATATTAAAATTACCACTATCTTATTATTATTTCACCAAGAGATCATAAAGGTATATATATATATATATATATATATATATATAGTGTCATAT